AAAGATTTTAATAATAATGCAAAAAACCCAAAAAAAACAAACCCCAAAAACAAAAACCCAACCCAGACATTAGAAAAGGCTGGATATAAAGCAAGGGTAGAAAAAAAAAATATTTAAAAGATGGAATTTTAAATACGGATCTTGCTCTAACAAATTACAATCTAAACATGCCTCGCTTTTTTCTCTTTTTAAGTTTGTCGTAACTGGAATAACTGGTCTTGTGTGATGTCTTGCATATTCAAAGTGCTTTGTAATAGGATACGGAGACCAAACCTTATTTGCCTAAACTCAATGGGTTTTATTTTTTCCCCTCTCTCCCCCCCATTTCTTTTCCTTTTATTTTCCCTCCTCCCCCCCCCTCTCCCCTAACAGAGGGAGGGTACAAGGGGGGGGGGAGGCAAAAGGAAGCCGAGGGCTTTAAGCTGTAAGGAAAATACCTGAAAGGGGAAGCTGCAATCCGTATTACAGCGAGGAAAGCCAAATATTATACATATATTTTTAAAGGCAGCTATGGGAGTTTTGGCCTCTAAGCAGCCAACTTGACCCCATTTTCTCTATTCTCTTACTTCCTCCGTCGGAGGATTCCTGCACCTTCAGTTGTATTCGAACTCAATGTGACCCTAAGGAGGGAGTCACCGAGTCTCCAGAAAATTGCTCCATATTAAACAGGAGCAAGAAGAGGAGAAAGACAGCCGGCGCAGAGGGGACACGGTTGCGTTAGAGTCCAGGACATACCGAGAGCAGCCCCAAGCACAGCGGGAGAAAGAAACAGACCTTGCTCGGAATCAATTTTTGTTTGTTTGTTTTAAAAAGAAGGGGCGGGGGGGGGGGGGGGGGAAGGGAGAGAGGAACTGAATAATTAAAAAAAAAAAAAAAAAAAGAAGACAAAGACACAAACGCAACCCAAATTATAAATAATTCACAGTCCGAATCCCGCGTGTGCGTGGCACCCACGCACGCCGTGCACGGCCGGGGCACATACATACACACACAGACACACACGCTCCCCTCGGAGGGTGCGAGCGGCAGCGGGAACCCGAGCGCGGCGGGTCCCGGCGGGGACCGGCAGGGACCCGCGTTTCACGTAGCGCGATAAGCGCCGGGCGATGCAGCCCCGAGTCATTAACCCCGGCCCCGAGCGGGCTCGGCCTGCGGTGCCGCCCGCCCCCGCCGCGCTCCCGCACCGAGCCGCCCGCGGGGAACGAGAATCGCCGTTCCTGTGCGCGGCCAGGCCGTGCGGGCCGCGGGGCGCGGGGCTCCGCGGGGCCGGGCCCGCCGCCGCCGGGGCAGTTTTCGGCACTTTCTTCGCCCCTTTGTTTTCCGGCGCGTCCCCGGCGCGGAGCGGTCGCGGCCCGGCGGGGTCCCGGGGGGCGCGGGCTCCGCGCGAGGCCGGGCCCCCGCCGCCGGCCCCGCCGCGCACAAAGCGGCCGGGCGGGCGCCGCGCTCGCTGCGCGCCCCGCGGCCATGGCCGGCGGGCGGGGCGGGGGGGGGGTCCGCGGGCGCGTAGCGGCCCCCGCGGCGCCGGCACCTGCGCGTCCCCGGCGGCGGCGGCGGGGCTCCGGGACGGCGAGCGGCACAAAGTTTGCTGGGGGATCCGGGGCGGTGGGTGGGAGCGGACGGGAGGGGGGGCCGGACCAGCCCCATGCAAAGCAGCCCGGGCGCCCCGAGCAGGAGGAGCCCGAGCGGGGGACAGGGCAGAAAAGTTGCCACTTACGCGGTCGCTGCTCCGGCGGCGGCGGCGCTTTTAATCCCGGGCGGCGGCGCGGGGGCTACAGATCCCATGCAGGCTGCGGCGGCTGCGGCGGCAGGAGCGCGGGGCTCCGCGGAGGGGCCCGGGGCAGCAGCAGCGGGAGCCGGGGGCAGCAGCCGGAGCCGAGCGGGAGCCGCCGCCGCCGCCGCCGCTGCCCAGCAGCAGCATCGTTGTCGGGGAGTTTGCAGCCCCCCGGAGAGAGGGGGCCGCGGGCGGCGGCAGCAGCAGCGGCGGCGGCGGGTCGGGGCGGAGCGGCGGGCGCGGAGCGGAGCGGGCGGCGGGCGCGGAGCGGGCGGCGGGGCTGGCGGTCGCCGGAGCAGGAAGCGCCCGGACTCAGATCTGATGATTGGGAAGAAAAAAAACTCTTTGGATCTTTATTCTGCTAATTAGTTTCCTGCAAAAAATGGCTGATTAGTGCAGTGCGCATGTGCCTCATTACCCAGGCACGACGGGAAGGGCTAATTAGCCACCTTCTGGATCAATAAGATTCAGCCCAGGCGGCGGGGGAGGGAGCGAGCGCGCAGGAGCGGGCGGGGGGAGCGCGGCGGCGGCGGCGCCGCACCGAAACTTGGGGCAAGCGGCCGGCCCCCAGCCCGCGGCGGGGGGGCCCGGCCCGGCCCCGCTCCGCGCCCCGCCGCGCTGCCCCGCGCAGCGCCCTGCCCGCGCAGCGCCCTGCCGGCCGGGGCAGGGGGCGCGGGGCCGGCCGGCGGCTCCGCACCGCTCCGCGCCGGCGGGACCTCCGCGGGGCCACCTGCCCCCGCGCCCCGGGCGGGGCCGCGCCGCCCCGCGCAGGGCACAGCCGGGGCGGGCCGACCCCCGCCGCCGCCGCCGAAGTTTCCCCGGGAGCCGCCGGGAAAGTTGCGTCCGGCGGCGATCGCAACTTTGCGCGCCGGCCCCGCCGCCGCCGCCCGCGGCATCCCCGCAGCATCCCCGCGGCGCGGCCCGGCCCCGTTCAAACTTGGCGGCCGCCGCTCCGAGCGGGCCGGCGGATCAATGCGGCCGCGGCCAGCCGCGCTGGGAGCCGGGCTACAGGTTTCACCAGCCATCGCTGGCAACAGCTTTGTCATTTTCTAAAAATAAGAAGCTAAAAGTTATTGTAGAAGAAGGGGCTTTTTTTGTCCCCCGCACAATGTGCCTTTTGTGAGTTTAATGCCATTCTGGGGCTCTCTATGGCCCCGGACAATGGGGAACTCCAGGAGGCGGCTGTGCCTCTGCCTTTTTTCTTTCTTGCTTTCTCTTTTCTTCCCCCCACCCCCCTCCTCTTTTTTCCCCCTTTTTTCTTTTTCTTTTTTTTTTTTTCTTTTTTTTTCTTTTTTTTTTTTTTTTTTTTTTTTTTTAGGATGCAACATTCCTTCAGTCCCACCAGAACCTCTGCTTTGATTAAATAAATATTTCTCTAGCCTAACGGTAATGTTTTTCACTTTCTGCTCGGGTCCATGTCCGATTATTATTTAAAATTTTTATTTCCAGGAGCTTGTCCCTCCCCATTCCAGCCCTAGCGAGAAATGTAGATGATTGCTGAGAACGTGCGATTTGAATTTTAGGAGGAGGTGAACCAGTAAAGAACCTCTATCCAGGCTTCAGGAATATGTTTTTTTTCATGTTTCTGTAAGAGGCTATTTTTATTATTAGCAGAAATGCATCTAAATTAAATCATGTCTTGAAAATCTAAAGAAGCTTTTTTTTTCTTCTTTTTTGCTCTTTTTTAACCTTTTTTTCCCCTTTTTTTTATTTTCATAATAACTCAAATAATTATCTTCACGGTTTGTTTCATAGCTCTGAACGAGGAATGCAGTTGCGGTCAGTTTTTCCATTTGGGAGAACCTTAATGTAGATGTATTTTATACTGCAAGGTAATAAACTGCATGTTTGTTAGTACCTATTATAATGAAATGTCTTGAGCTTTCCCTGTTTCTTAATGTGGGGGTTGACATTTGGAATTTTGACAAGTCCCTTTAATGGGATGGGGGTGAAGGAAGAGGACGGGTGATCAGGAATTTGCCTGTTCTGTTGATGCATTGCCGGAGGTGTCTGGCGGCTGGGAGAAAGTCGCAGGTTTTAAGACTCAGGGGTCGGTAGGTGCCACGGTGCTGGGGATGTTGTGCCTGCAGAGCTGGTGTGCCCAGTGACCCCGGCATGCTGTGTGTGAGTCCTGGTGCTCGGATTGACTCCAGAGGGGGACCAGTTTGCGTTTAAAAGCTGCCCTTAAAAATCTGTCACTCCCTGCTTGATACGTGTCTGCTTTTATGGAAGAATAATTGTTAATGTACTCATCTTTCCAAAAAAAAAAAAAAACCCAAGCAAAAAAAAAAAAACCATCTCCCCAAAAAAACCCCACCAAAACAAAACCACCCCCCCCCCCCACAAAACCCTAAAAAAACCGCACAACCCCAAGAAAAAAAAGAAAAAAAAAAACCCAAACAAAAACCAACCAAGCCCCAAAGCATGGAGCCCTGTGGGAATCAGAATTTTTGGGGGCTGCTTGGTACGCTGCCTGGGAAGGTGCATGTAATTTGTAGCTGTTCTTGCTGAACGTGAACCAAACGTGGGTTGAGGAAGAAGTTGAGGTGAGAGTAAAGTAACCCTTGTCTTTAGCACTTGGGATAACTTAGAAAAGTGCCTCTTTTCCCCTGAGGCTGTGGATCTGGTGGCCCAGGCTGCGGGTGCTGCCTGTGGCCACACTTTTGCAGAGCAAAGCAAAAGGAAATGTGTGGGGAAGTTGGGGAGCAAGAGAGCGCCTGTGGATGCTCCAGAAATAGGCACCTCCACAGGGACGTGTGCGAGCGCGGGCTGGAGCCATGGATGTTGTCTGCGCTTGCATCGTGAATTCGAGCTGTGTGCCGCTGTCCTCTAATTTCCCATGACAACATATGGATCCCATAAAGGCAAACATGCCGAAGTGCATCTGTCTGGGTAGTTAACACAAACCAAACATCCCCCGCTCGGGATCCCGCTGCCGCTCCGGCCGCGCTGCGCGGAGCCCTCCTGCCTCAGCCCCTCGCTGCTCTCTCCGTGTTTCTTCGGCGCCGCGCCGCGGGACCAGCCCGAGCGCCCCGGCAGGGAGGAGGGCAGAGGAGCGGAGGGGTTAAGCGGGGAGAGGGGCGTGCGCCCTGCGGCCCCCCACCCTCCTGGGAGCCGCTCCAGCCCGAGCAGGCTCTGCCCTGGGGTCAAGTCCTAGGACATCTTTCCCTCCCCTCCTGGCAAGGCAGCAGCTCAGGCTGGGAAGGGAAACAGCAGATGAGCAGAGGGCAGAGGTTTGCCCCTCGTCCTGGACGCAGACGTCTGGAGGCTGGGGAAAGAGAGAGTTCCCAGTTTTCCAGGTTGCAAAAAGAGGTGATGAGGGGAGGCTGTGTGTGAAAAGAAGGGAAGGAACAAGTGACGGCTGCAGGACCAGCGGATAAACCACTACGCAAACACCGAAACACAGCCAAGGAATTAAGGGATAATTCGTACAGAAATCGTTAGGTATGATTACATGTATGTGCACGTGTGTCTCCTCTAAAAAATTTACTTTCCATAAGATTTCTTTGTTCTAGGCAAAAAGACAATCTGGTTGCTAAAATATAAAAAGGGGCTTCCCTTACTTTAATTAGAAATTTTGATACAGCCTCATCTGCAATTGTGTGGGTGCCTCTTGTTTCTATATGTGTATCTCTGCATACGCATAGATGGGATTTTGGGTTCAAATAGCTTTTAATGTGCTTAGCGGAAAGAAGCTCTTAGTATCAGATCTGCAGGGAAAATAAGACTGATTTTTCCCATAGGAAACTTGCTAAAGACACAGCTGAATTATTAGATTAACCCGCTTTTTTGTCTCACGGCATATCTGATGTATTTGCGCAAAGATTTGTATCATTTCATTTCTATGTTATTTTGAACAGACGGAATGAATAGTGGCGCTTTCAAGGGAAGTTATTATTTGCAGAAATGTATACAAATTGAGAGGAACAACTTTGAAGCAAAATGTTTTTCCAGGGCAGCGAATATTGCTTTTTGGACAGGACTCTCAGCAAGAATAGTTGTTATCTTTAACATGTAAAATGGGGGTGAGCAGCTCTGGTTCCCTGGATTCTGCAGCGAGATCAAGTCTTCCCCTGGAGACATGACCTGGCTGCCAGGGGCTCAGGAGGCAGGGGTGGGCCAGATTTGCATAGGTCTGTGGTGAAAGCACGGGACTCAGCTGAATTTTTAGGGATCCCCGAGCATTTCCCACTGCTCGCCACCCAGCACAGGGGGACTGGGCCAAGGCTCTGCGGTGCTGGAGGCTGACGGGGCACAAGGGGCTGATGTATGGGGAAAGCTAAAAAAAAGTTCCAGGCTATCTTTTAAAATTCAGGCTTTAAAAATTATAGCTGGGAGGGGGGAGATTCAGCTTAGAAAAAGTCTCCATAATATCATCCACTTCCATAGCTGTGTGCTTCTTGGAAATGTGTCTGAAGAATCAGAACAAAGCATGGAAGGCCAGAGTCCTTGAAGGAGCTCCAAATGATAAAGTCTGCCATTCATTTTAAACACTGCGTGCATTGTGGAAACACAGGTCAATTTGAAGGCATTTGTCAGATTTCCAGTTCCCTCTGCTCCTTTGCAATGGAAATTTGCAATCAAATCTCTTTGCTGGAGTTAGGATGTCTGCCTTGATCAGTTTGTATGACTCTATGCCCAAAGCACTGGCCAGGTAAGCTAGCTTTTCCTGTGGAAAGTTTGTTTGTGAGGAGTTGAGCCGGAGAAGGGGGGAAGGTTGAGGGGAATTGAGCTGGAGCAGATGTGTTTGTTCTGGGTTTGGAAGGGGAAAGGGCAGGCAGTCGGCAGCGATGGATTGCACGGGGCTTGCCGAGCCGCAGAGGCGAGCTGATGCCATTTAGAGACGCCCAGCAAGAAGCATGGAAAGGGATATTCCAGCAGCAGCACAGTCATTGTTGGGATGCAAAAATGCAGCACGGCTGGAGAGCCACACTGCTGAGCAATTTCAGCCAGATAGCAGGGATTTCTTCTGGAGTCAGGTTTGCCTCAGTTACTGGGGGGGCTGCTGCCCTTATTCCTGAGACACGGGGTGCTGGAGGGGAGAGACTATTCCTATAGAAGAAATGCTGTAGGATTTGGGAGGTTTCGGCTGAGGGGGATGTTCAAAGGAACATTTATTCTTTTGTCTCCAATCTATTTCTGGGGCTTTACCTGATTATTAAAAGACATCGTGCTCCAGGCAGTGGGAGTGACAGGACCTCTGTGGGCTATTCTGGCTGTCCCCAAACCTGGCAGGGCTGCTGCAGGCAGGCTGAGTAAACACCCCTCAGTCAGACAGCAGGTTTGTAACATGCATTTGCTTGTTTTGCAGGCCGTAACACGAGTGGATGTGTTTGCCATGGAAATAAACACTTGGAATACATCTATATGTTTCTTGGCTTTTTGAGAAAAATGAAGAAAAAAGTCTTGGCATTTAATTAGGAGTCACTAACCTGATAAATATTGAACATCATTTCTTTGTGAGCAGCTCCATGTGCTCAGAGTACTCTATGGATGTATTCCACAATTGCACTTATTTAATGCCTGTATCACCTCGTGCCTATTGTATTTATGTTGTCATCAATGTCAGATTTTAATTAAACAATTAAATCACTGTCACAGTAATTTCCCTAGAAAACTATTTTAAATGAAAAATCCCACAATAAATGTTTGGGAACCATCTTAAAGGGATAAAAGAGGAAAATAAGTTACAGAATAAAATTACAGTTCTCCCAGAATTAGGGAAAAAAAACCCCCATGTTTTCAGCATTGAGAAGAATTCTGGACTACAGGGTGGTTTCCACAGAATTCAGTCTGTCAGCAGGGAGACCAAGACACCTTGGCTTGTCTGGGGGCTGGTCTGGGTCTGTCAGGTGCAGTGGCTGCACAGGGACCCCGGCCCAGGGCTGGCAGTTCCTGTGCTCACGCCCCTGCTGGGGCCAGAAGCAGTGACAGCAATGCAACCCTCTCTTCTCTGTGCCAGCCAGGTACCCAATGCTCCTTGGAAAATAGTCCATCAGCCTCCTTTCCCTCCGACTTATTTCAGAATTAAGCTGGAGATTTGCAGGAAAGTCTGCATTGAATTATTCACCAAGTTAAGCACCAGCACCAGCTGCACTTACTATATAGTAACCATGTCCTCCACCCCTGTGTTGTAAGCAGTGAGAAATCGGATCTGACATAGCATCTTTGCTGCACTTAATCAAACAGTTCATCGTTATCTCTTTGTAAATATCTGCTCTTATTCCTCTAAAACCTGTACTTCTTTGCACAGAAAAATCACAAACACGAGATGCAAAATTCATCAGACAAGATATCTGCAGGAATCACGCTCCCAGCCGCACGCCACGATATTACCTGTATTTAACATAAGCACATCTGACATTTGCGGCACGTGAGCGGCGCGTATTGAAACTGGGGCCCGGGCTGTGACCGCAGCGCCGCGTCCCCCGCAGCCATCCCCGGCCAACAATGCTTTCATTTGTGCCCCTGCCGAGCCAGTGGGGGCTGGGGGCCTCGCTGTGCCCCCCTCCCCAGCGCCCAGCCTCAGGGGACCCCTCCCAGCCCAGCACCCATCCTGCCACGGCAATCCTGGACAGTGTTTCTCTTAGGTCCACGCTGCGCTTTTATTGGAATGCAGCTTTGCAGATTGGGTTATGGCTGGGCTGCGTGTGGTTTCTGTCAGCCCTGAAGTGTTTTACAGCTGGAGATGATTTTGGGGGGTGGGGAGGGGACACATGCAGCCTGTCCACAGCCAGGTCTGATGTTCATCTGCTGCTGTCTCTCTAATTGTTTTCTCCGTGTCTCCATCAAAAGGTGAGGCTGGCACTGGAGGGGGTGATGACGACAATGGCAACACCAGGTCCATCCCTTCCTGCTCCTCGTTTTAGCTTGGTTCTCCCCAAAGCAAGCAGAGCCCCAGATTTTCCAGCAGATCCCTTTTCCTCCTGTGGCCACAACAAGCCCAGGTACCTGGTGTGCTGTGCCCGGGCTGGGCAGCCCGAGGCCTTGCACAGGCAGTGCCCTGGGGGGACTCCTGCCCCGGCCAGCTCCACTTGTGAGCTCAAGACACAGAACCTTTAACCTAAATTCAACCAGCAAACCCCAAAGCACTCACTCCATCAGTCCAGAGCCGTGGCTGTCCCCACAGCCCCCTTGCCTGGGCAGGCCCTTGCCTGGACCCATCCAGGGCCACCCGCACTGTGCCCAGAGCCTCTGCCACCCAAAGGGCCTTGGCAGAGCATACGCAACCAGAAACACGTTTTTTATACACGGGAAAGGGGGAAATGGATGAGGTTGCACAGAACCCTCCTCCAAGCAGGAGAGGCTGTGCTGGAGGAAAGTATTGCTCATAATGACACTTAAGCCCAGACACTTGAATGCTAAAGGTTAAACTTACATTCTTCAAGAAAGGGCTCCTTGCCAGCTTGAACTGTGTTGTGTGTTCACTACTGCCTCCTCCTCCTCCTCTTCATCCACTGTCAATCCACTTTTGGTATGTTTTGAAATAACTGAGGTTTTGGGGTGGATTTGTTTCCTCCCCTAATGTCTGTTCTCTGTACCAGTTCTTGGCCCTATGTCTGTCACAGAGTTAAAAAAAATTTAGAAGTCAGTTTAATGCCTGTACAAAAGAGAAGTGTTTTTTTCTTAGCTGCAAACTACTGTAGCTTCAATCCATCAAAGACCAGCCTCAGCATATGTTCTGTCCTCCAGTGACACACAGTTCATAGAACACCATCCTCCACCTCCTGTCCTCAGCTGAATAACCAGAACGTACATTCTGACAATCAGGCTAAAATTGGAATTAAAACACACATTGAAAGACTGATATACAGTAACAATAGGGTGGCAAAATCATTTTGGGGACAATCCTCACTAGGGCCAGAGACGAAACTGATGGCAATGCTTCCAAATGCTCAAGCCAAGGAAGAAGAAACAGGAAAATGCCCACCCAGGAGTCGCACTTTAAGATGAATTTCATCATAGTATGAAGAAACAGACATGCAGTTTGGATGCTACATTTAGACCTTACTGATCAAAGAGCACCTTCTCCATATACTTTCATGCTTCTCCCCAGAGATATTTCCCATAAAAAAAGAATGGAAATAATATTACATTGTGGATGCCTTCTAAAGCAGCCTCTTTACACAGCCTCATGCAGGCTTTTCGTAGAGAATCAGTCAGGTGAAAGCACAGAACACAGATCCCTACATCTCAGCAGCAGCAGCAGGTAGAGGAGACCCAGACAGAAGGCTGGATCAAAGGCTTTGAGGAGGAGCATGGAAAAGAGCCAGAGCGAGCTTCAGAAGTCAAATGCAATTTTTATTTGGGTTCAGAGATGATAAAAGGCCAGTGATGTTCATTTTCCTACTTCCTGCAGCAAGGGAACGGGGGGCTGCAGGGCTCCGCAGCTCGCTGCAGTGTATTTCTTGGCACAGCCCTAATTGTATCTCCTGGTCCCAGTGGAAGTTCACGCTTTTTAATATCTCTTATTGCTTCTGCAATTGCTGCCACCAGTCAGCAATCACAAACAGGAAGCCGTGAGTCAGCAGAGCCATAACCCGTGGGCTGCCAGCGGCCAGAGGAGAGGGACGCTCCTGGAAAACACGGCGAGGGCCGAGCTGGCCAGGAACAGCGCCTGGGAGCTGCACCGAGCCCTGGCTCCCAGTTCAGCCCTTCAGCTGACACCAAACCCGGCACAAAGGCTCCCAAATCAGCCCTTCAGCTGACACCAAACCTGGCACAAAGGCTCCCAAATCAGCCCTTCAGCTGACACCAAACCCGGCACAAAGGCTCCCAAATCAGCCCTTCAGCTGACACCAGAACCCATCACAAAGGCTCCCAGTTCAGCCCTTCAGCTGACACCAAACCCGGCACAAAGGCTCCCAGTTCAGCCCTTCAGCTGACACCAGAACCCGGCACAAAGGCTCCCAAATCAGCCCTTCAGCTGACACCAAACCCATCACAAAGGCTCCCAGTTCAGCCCTTCAGCTGACACCAGAACCCGGCACAAAGGCTCCCAAATCAGCCCTTCAGCTGACACCAAACCTGGCACAAAGGCTCCCAGTTCAGCCCTTCAGCTGACACCAAACCTGGCACAAAGGCTCCCAAATCAGCCCTTCAGCTGACACCAAACCTGGCACAAAGGCTCCCAAATCAGCCCTTCAGCTGACACCAAACCCAGCACAAAGGCTCCCAAATCAGCCCTTCAGCTGACACCAAACCCGGCACAAAGGCTCCCAGTTCAGCCCTTCAGCTGACACCAAACCCATCACAAAGGCTCCCAGTTCAGCCCTTCAGCTGACACCAGAACCCATCACAAAGGCTCCCAGTTCAGCCCTTCAGCTGACACCAGAACCTGGCACAAAGGCTCCCAAATCAGCCCTTCAGCTGACACCAGAACCCGGCACAAAGGCCCTGCTGCCCTGGGCCTGGGCGCCTTCGCAGAGGTTTCCCAAAGCTGGTGCCCAGGGCTCAGGGCAGTCGTGGCAGGGTGAGAGCAGACAAGGACACTGGCTCCAGTTGCCTCTCTGTGTCCAGAACGCAGATTTTTTCCCTGTTAGGGAGAGCACGGCAGAGGAGGCAGCAGTGGCCCCTCGGCTGGGATACGCCAGCGTGACCCCGTTTTCACACCGGCGGCACCCGGGGCTCGGCCGCACCACGGCTCACGTAGCGCGGGGAAGCAGATGATCTATTCCCAGCCTGGTTTCGTCTGCTTCCTAACTGTATTTAGCAGCGAGTTTACTCCAGACTGAGCCTGCGTGAGTAAGTGTGTATGTAAGGGTTGAGGATTGGCTGCAGCAGGCAGAGGGTTTGCTGAAAGGCTTGTTAAGGAAGCACTACTGACCATGCAATCCAATTACATAATGCTTCAAAAAATAACCATGCTGGGAGTTGGGTCTGGGCAGTGCATTTTGGCAGCAGAAAGAGGTATCAAATGTTCATCTTCCAAACCAAAGGCTGACAGTGTATTTGTGCCACAATGTGACACTGCACCTCGGCAGTAAACTGCTCGAAAGAGGAAACTTGCTTCCAGGGGAAATGCCTGCTGTTCCCTTTCAAGGCAGTGCTGCACCCTGCAGACCGACGTTATTTGAGTCCTTGTAAAATTACCACTAATCTCTGCACTCAGGATGCCTCGTGTTTTATGGGCACTCGTATGACGGCAGCTTTGTTTTCTGGGGGGAAAGCAGAGTGCCGAGCAGGGAGAAGCAGGCACCTGGCCATCAGCAGTGGCTTTCGGGGGTTTTCCTCAGCTCCCTATCTCGCAGCTCTTCTCTGCCACTCTGGACAGGACAGACATACAGATGATGCACAGTATTTACTGAACAATGTCTGAAAAAAATACCCTGTCCTGCCTGAGGAAGATCCAGACCGAGTCCCACTCAGGCAGAGCCTGCGTGGAGCTGTGCATCCTTTCTGTCGAGATGGATGCTGGCGGAGGGGACCGAAGGCTCAAGCTCCAGGATGGCTCCATCCACACGTTGTCCGGGATGATGGGGATATAGAAACCCTGTCTCCAAACAGCACTGGAAGCTTTTATCGTAGTTACTAATTTAACTGCTGGGCTGCTCCGAAGGCGTCACAGAGAAGGCACATTTCTGGTGAATGAGGCAACAGCAAACCAAGGATATTCCGAGCCGCTGCGCAGCCGCCTGTACCTGAGCTGTGCGGCTGGGCTGCTGGGGATGCTGCATGCGGCTCTGGCCCCCGGCCCTGCCTGGGCACTGGGGCTCCCACGGCCGGATCGCATCCCGGCCCCCGGGCTCTGCCCAGGCCCGGAGCCCCCGGAGACACGGGCGAGCCCCGCGCTGCTGCCGGGCCCGAAGGGGTTACGGGCGGCTCGTCCGGCCCGGCCCGCCCCGCCGCCTGCCCCGGCGGTTCCCGGCTGTTGCCGGCTGTTCCCGGCTGTTTACCTGGCAGCGCCGGCCGGAGGCCGCGCTGACATCACCGCCGCGCCCCCCCGTCCCCCCGTCCCTCCCTCCGTCCGTCCGTCCGGCCCGCCCGCCGCCGGCCGAGCCTCGCCCGCCGCGGGGCCGCCGCCGCCGCCTTCCCCGTGCTCGGGGCACACGCGGGCCCGGCGCTGCCCACCCACCTGGCTGCCACGTCGCAGCCGCGGGCTGCCCGCGGGCCCCCATGCTGCCGCTGCCCGCCGCCGGCAGGCCCGGGCCCGGACACCCAGGCCGGCGGCGCAGGTGCTTGCCCCTGCGGGGGCTGCTCCTCCGGCCCGCGGCGGAGCCGCTCTGTGGACGCTTTCTTGGTGCCTTTGGGCAGGGAGCCAAAGTATGCAGCTTAAAGGAAATGTTTAATAAAGACACAGGAGCCTCAAACTGTTTATTTTTCCTTGCAGAAAGGTGGAGAGACGATGTCCCTGGAAAGGCTGCCGGGCCAGGCGCGGGCCGGGGCCGAGCCGGGGCTGACGCTGCCTCTCACCTCTCCCTCCCCTGACAGCCCCGGCCGCGGGGTCATAAACCGTGGGGGGAAAAGGCAGCCTATTAGTAACTCTATTAAGTCTCCATTAGTTAGGTGTGAACTCATTACTCTAATATACCTGGAGGTGGGATCCCACTTGCAGGACATTAGCGCTGCAATAAGCACGTTTACCACCCGAGCTGGACCGAGCGAGGAGAGGATGGAGCAAAGGACAGGAGCCCCTCCACACCTGGGGCAGAGCACCACAGAGAGCCCTTCTTGCCACGCCTGCCCCGGGCACTTGAACTCTCCCACACAGGCTTCCTCCCTGTCCCCAGGGTCGCTGCCCCTATGAGCAGCCCCTAAAGCAGCCCTGGACACCTTCCCTCCCTGCAGCAGCGACAGGGCAGCCACTGACACACAGCCTCACGCCATGAGTGCCTGCACCACGGCAAGCTGCTCCCGGCCTGTTGTAGGATCAGACATTTGGGTTGGAACAGTTCCCCCAGCACTGCCGAGGACACCAGTCACCCCTGTCCCCAGGTGCTGTACCACACAGCCTTTAAATCCCCTCCAGGGCTGAGGACTCCACCACTGACCTGGGCAGCCTGTGCAAGGGCTGCACAGCACTTTCAGAGAAGACATTTTTCCTGATTGCTGAATCATAGAATATCCTGAGCTAGAAGGAACCTACAAGGAATATTGAGTGCAATTACAGGACAGGACAGACCAAAGAATCCCACCACATGCCTGAGAGCTTGTCCAGCCCTTCCTGAATGTCCAGTCTCAACCTCCCCTTTGCTTGGCCTGGCCTTTTCGATGTGTTGGCGTTTTGTGACAGGAGCTGTTCTGCTGTCTGCAGCTGAGCACCCTGTGAGGAACTCAGGCAAACTAAATAATGAGCTTATAGGAAATCAATTAATTAATAATAGATAGGATGCAGGAGCAGGGCTTAAAGGGCTTTGCTGAGTTAGCACAATGAAAAACATGACTGTGTGTAGAAATGTGTAGGCGTAGAACTTTGTCTCCACCTTCTCAGTAGCCTGAACGTGCCAACATGAGAGGCCTGAGCCCCAGTGCCCTCTGCCAGAGCCCCTCACAGACAGGCACTGTTTGCCCTGCAGAGCACAAAGACTGTGCACCATCTCCTCCCCATCCTTACTGGCACTTCAAGGCTGCACAAAAGCACAGCCCATGCAGAACTCTTCTCAAGAGTAATTTTTAAGCCCATTTGTTCCTAAATAGCACTAAACTGTACACGATCCCTGAAAAAAAGCTGTCCAAGAGCATACAAGTAGGATTTTAAAAATTATTTCAGGAGGAAGCATGATCTTGCTTCTAAGATCCTTGGCCAAAAAGAGTATAAAATTAATGGTATTAAGTTCCTAAAAATACACTTGAGGATCTGGGAGTTGGAACAAGGGCTTGGGTTCTATTCCTAGCTCTGCCACAGACTCAGTGTCTGCAATGAAGGACCAGCTCAGATGGGACACAGGGTATGTTGCAAGTGCCCAGAAATGCACTTCAGAGCTCACTCCCCCCACTTTTTGCCCGATTTCCCATTTTGTGCAATGGGTACAAAAGTGACTCTGATGGAGCAGAGCACATGAGATGGAATGTTGGTGTAATTCCTCCTGGTTTGTTTCCAGAGCACCATGAAACCATGTCCTGATCAAGCTCACCGGCCCTTTTCTTTCTTCCCTATTTCTCTGGAATCAACTCTTAAAATTCAAAACACCCGCAGGTACAAACAATTATGATTTAAAAAGAAACTACCTGCTAGAAAAGTGCTTTTTCCCTCCCAGCAAACACAGCACTTCCTTGCACTGTCCTCCTAGTCAGTTCATCTACCGTAAGGGTGCTCAAGTCCAATGCCCTGCAAAATGCAGTATTAAGTCTGCCTCTTTACTGCCCTGAACAGGAGACATAGGCAACCTTAAAATGCAACACTTGTTTTTAGCCCTGGAAAATCCTGAAATATTCACCTTTTAATATGTTATATCTAGGAAAATTGTTTCATCATGTAAAAATGATTTTATGCGTCTTTCTCAACCTGTTTTACTGTAACTCTGTTAACTAAGGTACCCATTTCTACATGGAATCCCATACAAAAATAGATTAAAATAATTGTGAAAGTTTCTGTAATTTGAACAAGTTATTGTGGCAGGATGCCCAATGACAAAACAACAGCCCATCAGCAAAGCCTGAGCTGAACTCACTGGTGGCTTCTCTAATTACAAAAAAGGAACATCCCAATGGTACCTTGACAGAATCTCAAATCCCTTTAATTCCCTGTGTGTCTTAGCTATGAAACCACTTTTGGCACAGGAATTTAAACTGCTAGACAAAGATTCAAAATAGCACATTTCAGTGATAAATAGTAAGGTTTATGCCCCGGAGTTGCTTTTACACCAGCGTGAGGCACTGAGATGGGACAGAATCCTGCATATTGAGTCCTGTGTGGATCCCAGACCCTGCTGGGTTCTGCCATCAGTGAAAGTACTCCAAGAGAAATGAAAACCCAGGCAGTGAAAACCTCTGCTCGCCCCACTAAAGGGAGGAAAAGAGACTGACATTTCCATGGGTGATTCTGTCTGATGAAATCAAGTATTTAAATGACTTCTATTTACACAGGATTTTGAGAAATAATGCTAATTTGCAGAATTGGCATCTGGGGTATGAGTATATATACCCTGGGAGAGCACTTAGGGAGCCTTTGTGAAGCTAAGTAATAAACGCTTTGTCTTCACCACACTATTTATGGGTTGCTTGGGGGCATCCTGCTCTCCTCCTGCCCCTACCTGGGCATAAAATTATTGCCCAACTAGGTTTTAATCAGAGCAACAGTAAATCTGAATGACCACACATGCACAGCCATTCCTGCTCCCTGATCTCCAGCATTAATTATAAAGTGAGACTGTTTACACAGTACATACCACTTTCCTGACTTCTTTCTTGTTTATGTCTAAACCTTTATGGACATAAAACTTTGGAATTTGCTTTTGGAATAAAACTGCAATTTAAGTGGCAATAACTGTGCTGGAAACAACTCGGCTCTTGCTGCCCCGGTGCCGCGGTCACGGCAGGTTGGCACTGGAGCCTCCCCACTGCAGCGTGTTGGTTCAGGTCATCTCCTTGCTGTCCCAGCTGGATGGCTCCTCAGAAACTGCAGCCTGAGACTGCTCCCAGCAAACACTCCAGCTCTCCCTGCCCAGTCCCTTCTGCACTTTTGCCCATGTCTGGCTGCCCTGTGCGTGTCCCTGCACACCCCGCTCTGGGGTTTGTGCTGCTCCCCCTGTGCCAGGCTGGGCTCAGGTCCTCACCCCTCCCTCCCAGGGTTCTGACCTGGCAGCCTCTTTGCTCCTCCAGACTGAACCCTGTCCCATGTCCTAAGGCACCCCTCCAGTCAGATTTCCCCTGAAAGGGAAATTTTTCTTGTACAGTAAGTCCTTACAAACAAAAGAGACGTCCATCAGATGCCATACACAAGTGAGGGTACAGTAGTAAAGTTACTGATGCTCCACAAGCACTAAATTATTCCTCGTCACACTGGCCTGGCTGCTCATTTTGTCAGGCTGTCACACAATAAATTAATATGTTGGCTCTTTGGGGCTGAGAACTCTTCTATTTGTTCAGTAAAACAGATACTGCACACCCCGGGCACCATATAAAAATAATAAATTACCATAGCACACAGGCAAGGTATTACTTGTCTCTCTCCTTGCCTTTACTTTATCCCCTCCATCCTCTGCCTTTCCTCTGATCAATTCATCTTCCATTTACTTTCTATTTCTGTCTGTAGGTTTCACTTTAATACATGCTGCTCCGATATTCCAACCATGCCACCTGCTCCACAAGTACAACTGCAGAGGCTCCACGGATGTGGAGAAGAGGAAATCAGCAAATGTTCAAGGGGAGGAGAAGAAAGAATGTCTATACTGCATACTGCAAGAATATTAGGAAAAAGGAATCAAACCTCTACCTGGTGCTGTCTCTTACGCTGACTTGGATGCCTCTTGATTCCTGCCAGACTCCCTTTACTCTTCACATCCAGCACAGAACTGTGGAGACTTGGTAGCCACAGGAATTGAACAGCCTTCTCTATGTAGGCAGGTGGGGAAGTCTTTGACCCAATCTCCCTTGTAGGTTAAAATGTCCTTTAATTCTGGTGGGCTGTGCTGAGATGGGAATGAATAAACTCTCTCTTCATTTTAGCGTCCAGCTCATGGAAGCTGCACAGGCTGGATGTTAAGTCTGTCCAAATTCCTTTCCTCTTTGGCAAGGTTATCCTACCTACAAAAATAAGAATTAAAATTAAGGTTTTGTTTGGCTTCTTACAAGTTCAGATCCTGCCCCACATTTTCCAGGACACAGTTCCAACCCAAGTTTTAGCAGACAGGCTCCCCAAGAGCACCCGCAAAGTCACGGGAAGTCATCAAGTTATTGCAATACTAAGTGCATTATGTTTCCAAAGCATCACATAATCTTAACTAATAAAAAACCCAACAGAATTTACTGTTTGTTCTTAAAAAAAAAATAAATAAGCAAAGAAGCAAAATTTAAATATTTATTGGAAAGCTAAATATTGTAGCCTTGAGCAGTTATTGGCAGGAGATGCTGTGCAAACAGAGCCCCGGCAGGCTGCTGCCTCCCACATCCCTGGGCGCTGGCCCGGGGCCCGCACGCCCCGCACCGCACCGGGCTCCACACATCCCGCACGCCCCGCACCGCACCGGGCTCCGCACATCCCACACACCCCGCACACCCCACACATCCCACACATCCCGCACGCCCCGCACAGCCCGCACATCCCACACATCCCGCACGCCCCGCACCGCACCGGGCTCCGCTTGCCCCTCACACCCCGCACACCCCCCACAGCCCGCTGGCCCCGCACCGCGGCCCCGCTCGCCCCGCACACCCCGCACCGCACCGGGCTCCGCACACCCCGCACACCCCGCACACCCCGCACGCCCCTCATACCCCTCACACCACGCCCCGCACATCCCGCACACCCCACACACCCCGCACATCCCGCACCGCGCTCCGCACGCCCCTCATACCCCGTACACCCCGTACACCCCGCACACCCCTCACACTGCACCGGGCTCCGCTCGCCCCTCAAACCCCGCACACCCCTCACACCCCGTACACCCCGCACATCCCGCACGCCCCTCATACCCCGCACACCCCGCACACCCCGCACATCCCGCACACCCCGCACATCCCGCACACCCCACACACCCCGCACATCCCGCACACCCCGCACATCCCGCACACCCCGCACGCCCCGCACATCCCGCACACCCCGCACATCCCGCACCGCGCTCCGCACGCCCCGCACATCCCGCACACCCCACACACCCCGCACACCCCGCACACCCCGCACATCCCGCACACCCCGCACATCCCGCACACCCCGCACATCCCGCACACCCCGCACACCCCGCACGCCCCGCACCGCGCTCCGCACGCTCCCCGGCAAAGCGCCGCGGTTCTGTTCTGGCCCTTCTGCGGCTCCGGCCGGGTCGGGCCCACCCCGCCTGCCCTCTCCCGCTACGGGAGGTGCGGGGCCGAGCGGGTCCCCGCTCCCGGGGCACGGCAGCACCGGGACCGCCGGCAGGCGCCGGTGCCGGGGCCGCTGGGGCACCCGGGGGTGCTGGGGGAGCCCGGCCCGGCCCGGCGGAGCTCCAGGTGAGCCGGGCTGGCCCAGGGCAATGTTTGCTCCTTCTGGCATCTGATTCCCACCCCTCCTATCCCACGTGGCCGTGCATTAGTGATGGGCACTGCTGGCAGATGGCAAAGTTCGAGCCGGGCTAATTAAACATACCGAGCTAATAACCTTCCATTTTGGGACTGGTATAATTCATAATTTAATGTATTGCTGCTGAGACATTAACCTTTCAATGACTGGCACAGTGCCCACAGCAGCCTGAGTGCTGACCATCTTTCAGGAAAATGAGTATTATTGTTAAAACAGGTATAAATCATTCATGGCTTCAGCTTTTGTGTCAAGCTGCACATGAAAATAAGTAGTAGGCTGGGTAATTTATTTACCTTTTGGTGGTTATTCTTATGATTTCATGATCATATTCTCTGATTCATAAACACTGGCCAATTGCCATTCTGTTCTCATTTTACCATTTCAATATTGCAGTGGTTATTCCGATTTCCATCTTTTAACAAGTTCAAGACTGGTGCAGAGTTGCTTGATCCAGGCACAAACATAATCTCATTTCAAGGAGGAAAAACTTATTTTAAGCTAATTCCCCAGTATTCAATGCAATTATTAAAGCTACCAACTTGTTACAATTTAGCACTTTGCTAAAAGAAGTGTTTCTTTGGAAACTGGTGCATAAACAGACAGATTAAAAACTTTTCAAAATTCTCCTTCAGAGGCAGCTGGGAGGAAGCTCACACGTTACTAAAGAGTTTAGTAAAGATCATGTCCTATCTCTTCCAATCAAATGGTGAACGAAAATGGCCAATGCTCAGTCAAAAGGGCAAACTATCTCTGTCTTTGAAGGCACATTAAAGATGAGTCTAAAAAAATCCTAAGTGGATGCTGAAGAACTAATCCATTTGCAAAATTGCTATTTTTGAAGAAAGAAGTTAACTAAGGAATCACCAAGAAGTTGTTTGTGAATGTCTGTCATATAATGCCAGGATAATGCCAAGAGCAGGACATTTTGAAGGCATAAGAGGATGAGGAGCAATATCAGCATCACTGATTTTAGGCTTCTCCTCAGGACTTCATATGGTCACTCTCAGGACTAAATGAACACCGGCAGAAGATAAAGCATTTGAACCTGTTCATGGGGACAACACTCAGACCCCCTTGGAACAGGAATTATTTGAGAGGTTGAGGTTCCTCTGGGTACCTTCTCATACTGGAAACATACAATGTTAGACCCAAGAACATCTATTTTTTCTATTGATAATGATGCAGGAGACAACCCCTCACTCCTACAAGTGATCACCTGCCTCTCTTAACCCGTATCTGTGCCACCTGTGGCCACGGCCGAGCTGTACACCCTCCCTTTGGGTTCTGAGATGTGTCATGGAGCCAGATGCACCAGGATCAAAGCCTGGCAGCTCCTTTTTCCATGGACACTACAGTGTCCCTGCATTTCACTCCCTCTGCTGGCTCCAGTTATACATCAAACTAAGGTTTTGTGACCTGAAATTTCTTTATGGCTGGGACATCTAAAATTCACCTGCATCTTCAGGCTCTGTTGTCCTTACAGGCAGCTGGCAGGGATGCAGCCCTTCCTCCTCCCAGGCAGAGCATCCTGGGCTTGGGACAGGAGCAGCACTGCCAGCAGTCCCCGTGGTCAGTCTGGGTGGGGAGTGTGTGTCCGTTCCACACTGCATGCTCCCTGACAGAGGGCAGGGCCTCAGCTCACCGGGCTGTACCTGCTGGGTGCAAGAGCCCGGTGTGGCTGCAGGAGACTGCAGTCCCTGCCCTTTGGGTGTTTGCAGGCACCTGCAGTCCCAGCCCTTTGGGTGTTTGCAGGAGCCTGCAGTCCCAGCCCCGTGGGTGTTTGCAGGAGCCTGCAGTCCCTGCCCTTTGGGTGTTTGCAGGCACCTGCAGTCCCAGCCCTTTGGGTGTTTGCAGGAGCCTGCAGTCCCAGCCCCGTGGGTGTTTGCAGGCGCCTGCAGTCCCTGCCCTTTGGGTGTTTGCAGGTGCCTGCAGTCCCTGCCCTTTGGGTGTTTGCAGGAGCCTGCAGTCCCTGCCCCGTGGGTGTTTGCAGGCACCTGCAGTCCCTGCCCCGTGGGTGTTTGCAGGAGCCTGCAGTCCCTGCCCCGTGGGTGTTTGCAGGAGCCTGCAGTCCCAGCCCCGTGGGTGTTTGCAGGAGCCTGCAGTCCCTGCCCCGTGGGTGTTTGCAGGTGCCTGCAGTCCCTGCCCCGTGGGTGTTTGCAGGCGCCTGCAGTCCCTGCCCCGTGGGTGTTTGCAGGTGCCTGCAGTCCCTGCCCTGTGCCTGCTGCTGTGCAGAGGGAACTCAGGGAACCAGAGCCTGGCCTTCCAACGTCTGGCAGCTGAGCAAGAACAATCGGGTAACACTTCTGAGGAACACCCTGCAAGGCTGAGGGAGCAGGGGTGTCCCAGCTGCGGGGGTGTGCTGCTGCTGGCACAGCTCCTTGGGAAGCCAAGGGCCCCAGCCCTGGTGGTGCACAGGCTCTCCTGGCCAAGCTCCCCCCTGGGCCGTGCTACGCAGATGGGCTCTTGTGCAATTCTCTGCTTTCCAGTAGACACGTGATTTTCTATGGCAAGAATTACTCAATGTGCAGTTCCTGTCTGAAGTGGCCTATCCAAAGTATTCAAAACAAGTTCTGAGCAAACCCGCATCTCGAGGGTTGGTGTTGCCTTTAGGCAGATTTGTTGTTGTTTCACAAGTGGGAAAACTGAGGTAATTTTTTTTCTTTAAAGGGGGCAGATACTGCACATGTACAGGCACTGAACACCCTTGGTGCTTGTCTAAAGCTGAGAAGAAGCATTGAAAACACCTAAATGTGATAGAGAGGCTGCAAATTTGAGCATGAATCCCCCTAAACCATTATGCTTTTTGCCACACACACATTTACTTTCTGTGGAAATAGACCTTGTACCTCATTGTTCAAATTCTTGTCTGCAGTTATTCTGTATTTCAGGTTCTTGGCATTTCAGGTTTTTGGTATTTCCCCCTCGTTCACATGCCAGGTGGCAAACCCCGAACTGGAGCAGAAGTCACTTCCTACTCTGTGGTTATAAGAGAGTTAAAGTTCAGATTTCTAATTGCTCTCTCGAGGCCTTATTACTTGTTGATTAGGGTCTTTTGGGAACTGCATCAAACCTATAATAATAAACACTCATTTCACTGGAAGTTTGTAGCTGCCGTGGCAGCCCTGCAGCCCTTCTGTAATGGCACACGTACAAACCACCAGGAAAGGCCTCTCTAACTTCTTCAGAGGCTTTCCATGCTGGACAGGTCTGAGCCATGGGCATTTACCTGCCAGACTGGAGCTGGGGCTGCAGGTGCCCCTGCGCCCTCTCCCAGCCCTCAGAGCAGCGCTGTGAGCAGTGTCTGGGCAGGAGCCTGGTGGGGAGCACATCTGTGCAGGGACAGCTCCTTCTAAACAGTGGCTACTTCCCTAAATGCTGGTAGATCTGGGGACAGCAGCACCTAAAGAGAAGTAGGACTGCCAGCACACTGCTGGTGGCCAGTCAGGGTTCATAGTCCATTATCTCCTGCTCTGACCAGAACAGATATCCTCCAAGTGCCATCCTGAAACCCAGGAGCTCTATGCTTCAGCAAAAGCCTCTGCTGTGTGAGGGTGCTGCTGGAGGACACGTTTGCTGCATGAGCTGGCACAATAAACCTCCCTGGCCCGACCAGCCCCAGGGAATCTCTGGGCTGATGCCCAGTGCCAGCCCAGGCCAGGGGTGCTGCATCCTGCTGGAGCACACGGGGCACACGGGGACACAGCCCCCAGATCCCAGCTGGGACAGAAGGGGGTCCCCCCGTGAGGGGCAGGGGTGGGACAGTTGCAGATGCTCTGTGTCTCATCAATGCACATGTTCCTAATTGCAAAACCTTTGAGTTCTCCTAACTTGAGCAGTCCAAGGTGTCATTCCCAGACTAGGTGCTTTGGAAGTGCTTGTATGGCATCATTTTTACAGGCTGGATGTCCAAAGGGATGGGATGGGATGGGATGGGATGGGATGGGATGGGATGGGATGGGATGGGATGGGTGGGATGGGATGGGATGGGATGGGATGGGATGGGATGGGATGGGATGGGATGGCATGGGATGGGATGGGATGGGATGGGATGGGATGGGATGGGATGGCATGGGATGGGATGGGATGGGATGGGATGGGATGGGATGGGATGGGATGGCATGGGATGGGATGGGATGGGTGGGATGGGACAGGATGGGTGGAATGGGATGGGGTGGAATGGGATGGGATGGGAGCACAGTGTGGTCATGGATTGCCCCAGGCAGGAGGGAAGTTGCTGCACGTGTGCTCTTGGCGAGTCTCCAGAGAAGGGCAATGGGTCTCCCTGAGTCCCCCCAGAATGAGCCTGCAGTAGCAGCAGGTGCTCAGCTGCAGTTGCTCCTCAGACAGGCAGTACCTGTTGGAAGGGTGGATCGATGGGGCCCAGGCAGCCATGCATGAGCTGCTCCACAGTGGCTCTATTGATCAGAGCTAACGTGCCGATAGCAACGCCGAGCGGCTGACAGGCCGAGGAGAGGCAAGGAGGAAACAGCCTTCGCTGGTGGCAGACGCACACAAGAAAGCCGATAAAAAGTCAATTCCACTTAACTGAATGGCTGCTAACTAAATATTTTTGGGGCCAGAGCCTTCCCAGATAGCAGCTGGAATGTCTCTGCTCCAGAACTGAGACATCAAGTGAGCGTGGCATCGACGGCTGAGATAAGAGACGCTGTGACGGCCGGCGAGCAGGAGAACCTGAGGAGCCAGCCCTGCCTGCCCTGCACAGCCACACACCGGCGGAGCACAGAGCATCCAGAACTGCTTTTCCCAGGCCCAATACTAACATTGTGGACAATGTTTCAGGCCAACTTATAGTGGACTGGATCAGTGCTTAAGGCACCGAATATAAAGTAATTCTCCAGCAGTTTGATTAATAGTGTCATAGTCATAGCTTCAGTTCAGGTTCAACCTTTTTAACGTTTTATTATTTTACAGCG